TGTCAAAGCCCATGGTTTAAATATTCCTATCGTGGCCAATTTTAAGCTACCATTGAGAAGAGATGTGCACAATTCGCTTTAGTGAATATCTTCTGCTAGCTGGCTTCAGTACACCACTGGATGCACCTCACATTTTAATCAGGAGAATCAGTTCAATTGATTCCTCATGAACTAGAAGATCAGTGTATATTATACGAGAAGAATGTAAAGATTTGATTACATATGCTCAATTGTTCTATTTAAATGAAAATTTGAGCAACATTTTGAAAGAACATATTCTTAAATGTATTTGCATTTGCCCAAGGCTGAAGCCCAGTCTCTTGGTCTCCATCACTTTGGTTAAATATATTTTCTTTATAATTGTCAAAACAGGTCGTGCATATGACATGGCAAGTATTGGGGATCTCAAAGCTTTCCATTTGGTGTTGGGGCAGGCCTCCATTCAGGGATGCATTCTCAAAGCACTGGCAGTAAGTATTCTCTCAACTAATCTCTATGGTGTCTAACAGAGAAGTTCTGTAGAATAAGAGGCATTCTTATTGACCAGTAGACTTCGATCCACCTAATAAACAACTACTTCGACCAGTAGACTTCGACCCACCTAATAAACAACTCTAATATGAGCAAATAGTTAAAAACATATCCAAAAATTTAGAAACTATAGGTTTGTGATAATAGCCTGTGTCAACCAGCTCTCACAAACCCCTATCCCTTATACCTCTTAGGGCATTTAGGATGTTTATCTGGAGGTTAGTTAAATCATAGGACTGTCGAAAGGATACAAGAGGCAGGGGTAGAGGCGAAGGTGGAGAATTATGTTTCATGAGAGTCACTAAATAAATAAAGCACAGTAAAATATCTAAGATTTGGAGTGAAGAAGATTTAGATAGAGATTTTTTAAAGTTTGCTGATTAAAGGAAGAGTTACCATCTGTCAACTCTTTTTATGAGGAAAGCGATCAAACGACTAAACATTCTTCAAGGAACACGTGGCCGAGAAATTGAGAAAAGTTATAACCCTGGAAAACCATAGGAGATGGTACTAAAGTTGAGATAGCCTTGATTTCAGAAAGGAGAGGAAGAGCAATTCAGGTTGAAAAAACATCAAGAGAGGCCAAAGTTGTGAAAGCTAAATTAAATGTCCTAGAACTAGGCAGTGGAATCCAGTAAGATATAACCCAGAGGCAATTGGGATGTCAAGGCTCTTTGGAACATACAAATGCCTGCCTAATGCATTTTACAGATACATGTGAAATGGGAATAAAGGCTAATGTAATTGTTCAACAACATGGTGCAGATGATGAAATCTAAGCACTTAATTTGGAAAAGAGTATGGTATTAAGATGACTACATTGATTACTGTGAAGGGTATGACATGTTTAAATGGGCTTGACAGAGAAAAAGAACTGTGCTCCATAATTTAAAAATCCAAAGCTAGTTATTTCTTCTAGGAACATGTATTTTATTCAGTCAGCTTTCTCTATTATTTGATTTTAGACAATATTTGGAACACCAATGCCACAAACAAAAAAGACACACTTGAACTCCCAAAGTAGAATTGGATTTGTTCTACAAATCTATTTGTATATATTAATGTATCTTATCTCATAATTTGATTGAGATGAATTACTAAATAAGAAGCAATTTTTACAATAAAAAACCAAATTTCTATTCTTATTTTGTTTCCAAAATATTTATTATAAGGAAACATCAAGAAGCGCGGATATTTCTTTTTACTAATCTTTCAGTATTAAGGCCCCATTGTATACATGAGTTCTCTATTTGGAACCTAAAGAGACATTCTGAAAAGACAGAGTCACAGTGGAAAGTGAAACTTCTCCTTATTGTATTGGGGCTGTTGGTTCTCAAATAAGTAGAAGGTTCCAAGTCCAATGAGTTTCTTGTGGTGTTTTACCTGGTCTCCATAGAGAGGACTTTGCAAAGTGTTTATCTTATCATATGCTGTCTTCTCTCTCCTTAATCAAGAGGCAGTTCACTTCCTGTCAGAAAGGACCACCTCCCAGCAAAACCAAAGTGGCAAAGTTTGTTTTTAACAAGTCTGCTTTCCTGTTTGGACCTTCCTGCTGCCCCAGTGCAAATAATAAATCAATTTAGCTACATTTGTTTTACTACTCCAAGGTATTTTCATTTCAAAACAAATGTTATATTAAAAGTAAAATTTAAAGTATCAGAGCGAAATTCTTGGATTGCTAATTTTAGATTTTGGATAGCTAAATCTTAGACCAGTATAGTCAATGATATTTTAAAACATAAATGTTAATGTTCTGGAGGAATTAGAATGAAAATATATAATATTTTCCTTCATTAATTCTCCTCAGATTTATTGTTGTTGTTGTTTAGCAAACTGGTCCACATTACTGTGATCTTTTATTAGGTTCATGTGGCATGTGTTTCTCAGTTTCTGAATACTTTTAGTATACTGAGGCTAAGGTCAAATCATCTGAGAATCCCATTATCTTTTTTGCTTGGTTTCATTAGGAAGGAGCAATGATATCTAAATGACTTTTGTTTACATTTTCACCAAAAGGGAAAGATGCATGTTTTCACTTATCAATGACAAACCAAGACATGACATCCACGTGGATGATTGCTTCTTCAACTTCCAACACTAAGCACAATGAAAAAAAATATTAATTAATAATAGAATACTCTTGTTGCTTCTTTTCTTCTTCAACTTGCTTTTTTTTTTTTTTTTTAAAGCATAGAAGTAGCTGAATACAAATTATAGTATTAGAATATATCACTGCCTGGCATGGAGTAAGGTTCCTGTAGGTGTGTGGCTCCCCATAACATTTATCACATATACAACGTGACTCAAAGTTCACCACAATAAATCTTTGGGTTTTCAGAAAGAATTACAGTTCCCCAGCTGTTAAAACCACTGCACACAGTACTAAACCTCAGAAAGGGAGGACTCCCTATAGGTACAGAGATTGTCTTTCCCAATGCCTATAGGGGATAATCAATTAATTTTAGAATAGGAAGTAACAAGATAATATAACCAGTGTTCTGTTGAGTGAGCCAGATATTTAACATCTTTGTGCTTCTTTTTCTTTAGTTGGTCTCATAATTTATCTATCCCACTGGGTCTTTGTTAGGATTAAATTAAATAATGTTTATAAAATGCCTGGCAAATAAAAATCACTTAATGAATGGCAGCCATTACTACTGTTCTGCCAACATTTGAATTTGAAGAATGACTTCACTCTTTAGTAGGGGATAGAGTCTGTTTGCAATGGGTTAGAAAGGCAGAGGGTAGATTTCAGAAGCAAACCTGAGAATTATTATTAAATTAAGCTACATGCAAAGCAATCATGAAAAACAACAACAATAATAATGGATTGTTACCAAGAAATCTTAAGGGACTTTCAATGAAATCTGTCAAAAATATCACTAAAGGAAATATGAGACATGCTCTAGGCTTGATTGTATCCAGCTTAATTTAAGTGACTGCCTCTTGTGCAATTGGGAACAAGGCACATAAATTGCAAAATACATCAAAACAAGGTGTTTTGAAACACACAGCACACCTCTGCCAACTGACTTTATACTGGAAACTAAAGGTGCAGTTAACAAAGGTATGCTGATGGTGCTACAGCTGCTTAACGAGTGACTTTTTATGTTAAGTACTCTGGATTACCTGGAAAGATTTCTTTTGTTGCTGGATAATAATGGGAGAGCATTTCCTATATATATTGTTAGGTTGAGGGAGCAATGCAAGTATAGAGCATGTCTGGTCAATGAAAGATTACTAAACTATGTTTCTCTCCACTTAATCCCTAATGTGGCAGAATACTACCTATCTCTACCTGGACAACTCCCTGACATCTCTTTAAAAACGCAAAAGTCTCTGAAAATCAATAACGATCTCAGTTATCTTCCTCTCCCGTCCTCCCCACAAAACTGCTACTCTTTCTGGATTACTTGTTATATCCTTGTCATAGAAAAAGGTACTATCTATCATCCACCCGTTGAGTTTTGCAAGCCAGAAATTTAGGAGTCATTTTTGATAGTCCTCCTTCTTTTCCTTCCAAATTTAACCCATCATCAAAGACTATTGACTTTACTGCCAGAATTTCTCCCTCTGTCCATCTCTTTTCATCTCCCCTACCATCAATCTATTCTAAATTCACCATCATCTTTCTCCTAGACTATTGCAACATCTTAACTGCTCTGACTCCATATGCCCCCTCAACATGGCTGCCTCTACCCCAAAACCATTCTCACATCACTAGATGAACCAGATCATATTATCCTACCACCCCAACCCCATGCTTAAAACTGCTGAATGACTTCTGAAGGCCTTAGGATGAAGAGGAAAACAAAATGCCTTAACACAATCTACAAATCCCTCCTTCATCTAACTCAACTCTTTTTGACTCTGCACCAGCCACACAAGCCTTTGTGTGCTCACCATACTTCCTCCTGCCACAAAGTAGCTTCTGCTCTTTCTGTTGCCTAAACCAATCTTGCCAACCCTTTTCGCCTAGTTATCTGTTTAGATTTCAGTTCAATTGTCACTTCCTTGAAGAAACCTTCCCTGACCTTCAAACCACATTAATTCCCTGTTATACACTTTCATAGTACCTTGCAATCCTTCTTTACAGGACATAATGAAGCTGTGATTTTATTTTGTCCGCATGATTAATATTATTCTTTCCTATTAATATGTAAGGTCCAGGAAAGAAGGGACTATATCAATTTTTGATACCAGCTAGCCCCAGCCCAAGCACAGGGGCTATGACTTAGCACTACTCAAAAATATACAGTTATAGAATGCACAAATAAACAATGTCAGGTAAGTCATCCACATTGCTTTTAGTACAGAGCCTATACTGTTTTAACAAAAGCACCAGCAGGCAGGTTTTTGTGCAAAAGGCCCACTGTGGTCTGTGAATATAAATATGAAAATGATTAACTTAACCAAACCGAGGAAAGAACACAGAGTTTTGCAAAAAGTGAGTTTCTAATGTTGTTTACCTTTAGTTTTAAAGAGTTCAATTTTTCCTCCCTGAGGTGTTCTCTCAACATCTCTCGATGAAGCCTCTCCTGCTCTCTCGCAAATTCGCCAAGCGTGTACTGGCGCACGCTGTTATGGCGGCTGGACATGCCCAGGGTGCTGCCCCCTTGACTGGGCACGCTCGTGAAGCCTTGCCTCCTGGTGAAGTAGTACACGGTGACACAGCTAAAATGCACATTCTTAGTCCTCAGTCGCTTCTCTCTTTTGAGAATGGAGGAAGCTGAAAGAGAAAGAAACAATTCAGTGAACACCTAGGGCAGCAGTTTTCAGATGAGATGAAGAATTAGAAACTGCCACTTGATGATCAACCCTTTCTTGGCTGCAAGACAATAATAAGTTGAAACAGATTTATATTTCCTTTTAAAAAAATGTTTCTAGCTGTGGTATTGTAGACTTTCAAGTCCTTCTATAACTGTAGTCTAAACAAACTTTCAAGAAAGTTGCCAAAAGGTTATGAATCAGTGGCAGAATGTAATTTCTCATTTCCCCCAACCTCTTAAGTTTTGGTTTTATGGTTTTTACATGAGTTGCATAATACTATAATCAGAAAAGACATATACTACCAACCTTCACACTTTGGATCTTATTTTGATATGGAGGATGCTTGGCATAAAAAAGTGTCTATTTAAAAATTTTAGAGAATTTCAAAAGCAACAAAAATTCAGGGAAAAAAGCTTGCTAGCACTATTTAGATATTTTTACAATCAAAATCTAACAAGGCTTTTCCTCCCTGAGGTTGATAAAAATTCCACTAAACAGCATTTCAGACAGTGGGATTTTAATCCAAGTACACATTGGGACAATTGAAAATGTCATTCGATCTTTTATTATCAGTCACAAGGATATCAAGATGCACAGAGCACCATGGAGGGTTGAGATACACACTGTGGTTGACAGAAAGAGAGCCACACATTATAACCATGACCTTTTGGAGTTGGAAAACATACTAGGCATCATCTAGCCCAGCGCTTTTATTTTATAGTGAAGTAACCCAGGCTTGCAGAATTTGAGTAATTTTTTTCAATGTAGATAATTAGTGTCAAACCTAAACTTAAATGTAAAAGCTCCCAATCTGATGCCATATTCTATGACACTTCTCCACTGGGTAAGGAAAGGTACAATGAATTGAGGAGAAAGATTTAGAATCATGATGTTATGTGCTGAATTGTATCTCCCCACCCCCAAAATATGTTGGAGTCTTAACCCTCAACACCTCAGAATGTAACCTTATTAGGGAACAGAGTCTTTACAGCGGTGATCAAGGTAAGATGAGGTCATTAGGGTGGGTCTTAATCCAATGACTAGTGTTCACATATAAAAGGAACATTTGGACAGAGACATGCACAAAGGGATGATGTAAACATACATCCTCACTCTGCTCATGTGAAGAGGGACAGAGATGAGGATTATGCTGCCAAAGACAAGGAATGTTTGGAACTACCAGAAATTGGAAAAAGTCCTTCCTCTATAACTTTCAGAGGGAGCATGGACCTGCCAACACCTGGACTTTGATCTTCTAGCTTCCAGAACTGTGAGACAAGAAATTTCTGTTGTTTTAGGCCACTAATATGGTGGCATTTTGTTAGAGCAACCCTAGGAAACTAATACACATGTTCAAGTAGAAAAACAGATAGAAAGAGACAATGAATTGAGAAGAAAACCTTGGATAGCAAAAGAGTAATTTAAGCTAACATTTATAGAGTGCTTCCCAAGTTCTGTATTATGCAAAGAACTTTAATGAATTATCTCATTTTATCCTTACAGCTATTTGTGTTGATACTACCCATGTCTCCATTTTAAGAAAACTGAGCCTCAGTTTCCTCAAAGACTGAATAACATAGGCAAGGTCATATAACCAGTGATGAAGCTGGGATGCATTATTCCAGAGTTCAGGCTTTTAAACATCATGTCATAACAAGAGCAGAAGCCACTCTAAGGGAGGTGAACAAGGCAGAGTTTTGGTGTCATACTAACTCTCATAGATGTCAAATGCTACTGCTTTCAAAGATGATTTTGAAAGCTATATAAGCAATAAAAAAAAAAAGTGACTAAAATATCATTTTAGATTTATGTAAGAATATTCTGCCAAGGGAGTTCAAGTTCTTTTGTCTCATCCCCCCACCCCACCCTATAAAACATTCAAGCCAAAAACAGACAAGCCACTATTACTAATCTCATTTTATGAATTTATTTATTTAATAAGTAGAAACCAATGGCCTACTATGTGCCAGGCTCTTTCTAAATGATTGGATACATTGATGAGAAAATCAGAAGGTGATCCCTTCCCATGACACCTCCATTTCCAGTGATAAGAAACTCAGACAGAATGAACAGACTCAGAAGATTATAGAGATAGAGAAATATGACATTTGGGCAAGAATTTAGCTTTCCCAACTTCCCCTCCTCCCTACTGTTTTACCTCTCCAGAGGAGATTGCCAGAAAGCAAATGCTTTCAAACGTGTACATAACTTTCCCATTTATTTATGTGTACGTTCACTGCAACATACTTGTACTCCTGGCAGCAGAGACAGTTCTCAACTTTAATTTAAAATCCCCGATCTGCTTCATAACCATATGTTTAAATCATCTTAAAAAGAGAAGGATTTGTCAAAATGCAAAAGATCAGCACAGAAAGCAAAATTTAATAACTTGCCCAGGAATCTGACAACCTCATTTGTCACTACCTTACAGCAGGCCACGGCTGCTGCTTTTTGGGTGATAACCTTCAACCTTTTCCACTCTCGATATCATAAAAACAATGCCCTTAAGCCAACATATTTCAAGGCCATACATTTACAGATAAGAAAAAAATTTAATGTATTCATTTAAGGTAATTATTATGAACACCTCTGACAATTTTATTACTTATATTTTAGATAATTTATGGTACTCTAGACAAATTTCCTTTTTGAAAATGTATTTAGATCTTGTATCTATATTTTTAGATTATAAGAAGTACACTTCGACCTTCTGGATGAATCTATTGCACTACTGTTTCCTTGATTTACGCGTAGAGAAAATACATAGGACAGTTTAGAGATGATTTTCTACAGCTTTGAGGAGACAATAGTAGCAGAAAGCAGAAGCTCTTGGCATTGCCAACGTTATCAAATCATGCTAGGATTAGTGCTGCTTTCTATCAGCAAGGGTTTATAACTCAAAACTGTGCTTATGCTTGCTTTAGCATTTGCATATTATAAATAGCACTGTGAGAAGGATGATTGAAAAGCCTACAGAATATATTTAAAAGGCAGACTTTGAAATACTACAAGATCTGCCTTATGAGAGATATTTTAAGTGTGGCTTTCCTGAACTTAAGAGCCACCCACGGCTCTCCTCTGATTGAGTTAGAGCATGAGCCTTTATGGTCTATCTCCTGCCTCCAGGCACCAATTTGACTACCACAAAATGAAGTCATAAAAAAAAAGTCTGTATTCTTCAAGCTTGGGAAAAATGGACAAATTCACTCAACACATCTGCCTTAGGGAATCTGAAACCTCCCTGATATACCTACCTAGTAATTTGTGCCCTTTGCAGAACAATCGAAACCAACTTTAGTTTTAGAGTTTAGTTTACTTTACTACTGTGAGGTCAAGAGCAAGAAATAAGCAGGAGAAGGAGGTGTCTTTCATTACTGCTTTAAAAAACAATTAGTCTGTTTTCATATGGATACTGAGTTTTTGGTGCCTTACAGCTCTTTTTCTTTTGTCCCATTCAGTTACCACCCTGATACAGAAGTGTCTAAATGCAGTAGTATTATATATACAGCATAGGACACAGCTCTTGGGAACATCCATTATGGTTACCACATGAGAGCATACTGATGCTACTATAAAATGATCACATATTATGGAGATGATGTTGATTTTTATAAATTAAAGGAATAAATAGCACAGAGTGACTAATATTATTTGTCTGCAGCAGTTATTCTTCCTAAAAAATGCTTTAGCAATGAACGGAAAATAGAATTGGGAAATTGTCCCATTCACAATGCCGGGGTAAGAATTCAAGTAGATAAAATACAATAATCTGTACCATACATTATATAACAAGTTCATGAAGAGAGTGGATAAAAATGGAAGCCAAAACTAAAAATGGCAGAGTGTGTTTCTAGAACCTTCTAGAACCTTCTAGAAGAGTCAGTGTTCTGATGAGACAAATATTCTGAGTATTTTGAGCCCACAGAGGAGATGAGTATATCAAGGCATCAGAATTAAATCACATCAGGCTCTAAGAAAATTCAACTGACTTTGTTCCATTTCCACACTCATAAACGAACCTGCTTATATAGATTGGAATACACCTTCAAGTCAACAAGGCTATGTAGTTGACTCATCAATTTTATTTCTTGCTGAAAATAATCAAATTTGTTTCAAATTTATACTTCAGCTATTAGTGAATGAAGTGAGTGCATGTCATGCCATCTGAGATTTCCTTCCTTGCATGCACAGAGACCATCACATAAAATTGAAGATCATACTAGGCCTGTAAAATTGAAGATCAGACTCTGGACCATAGTGCAACCACTCTGGAGCTCATACTAGAGCAAGCAAGTCACCTCAAGGCAGACTTATTCCTTTTTTGTGTCAACAACTATCAGCAAAGCCCTGGTATAGCTGAAAAGGCAGAAAGCAGTAACTAGAGCTATATGTTTTGGTATTAAATTTGGCATGTGAAAGTTGAGGGTTCACAGTCCAGTATGATGTTAAACGAGGAAAATATTAATTTTACCATTTGGGCCTAAAGTCAACAGTACACTTTTTTCTCTCCTATGCCCTATGCTCAAAAGAAAAATATTGGATGATTTGTAAGTCTATATTTTGAGTTTATTTTTAATTTATTTGGGGAAAATTTAGTAGAAGCAAAATGAGATTGCTGAAATTAACTTGTTTATATTGGTAACTCCTGGGCAATTAAAACTCATGTTTTTAAAACATACAAACAAAATTAATCAGGGGCTCTGAAAGTGTGTATATTGCTTCTTACCTTTAGAAGAGCAAATCAAGATCAAATCAAACTTACGAAGTCATGAAACCTAGCCTGCAAACTGAAAGTCCAGTTGCATCAGAAAAAATTTTGTATAGAAATTAGCCTAATAGCTTAGATGTTAAATCGATTTCCAATGGTTAAAGTTATGAAGCTTTTTAAAAAGTTCTTAATCAAGTGGCTTCTGCAATTCCCCTTGATCATATCCTCACAGTTTCTCCAGCTTGAAGATT